ACATTTCCTCTCCAATTCCCCCTACCCCAGTTATTGTCCTCAGGTTTTTTTCCACAACGTTTTAATCCTTCACATCCCGTCTCAGCAGCTCCTGGGTCACTCAAGCCAAGGGTTGCAGTTTTAATTGCTGGAATCTGTGGTGCTGGGTGGTTCTTCTGTGCATGCAGGGTCTGCCATGTCCTGCTCTGCTTCTCCCTCCTCCAGCTGCCCATCCTTGGCTGTGCAGTGAGTGCTCTCATGGATCCATCTGGAGCTCCGTCTCCTGGTCTGAACATTTTCTTGTTCCTCCTCAGTAGAGTTCCTGAGTTCCTTTTAGTGCATTTGGCAAGTGGTGTCCTCGCTGTGTATCAGCAGTTTTCCAGCTCCTTTTGGCACAACCAGAAAGTGCTTTTGAAGCAAAGTGTAATAACAATAACGTAGAAGCTAAAGGTAAATAAACAAACCACACCTTATTTTTTATTTCAGCTGCATTTGGGGAACTATTTTTATTTTTTAAGCAACGTATAAATGCACATGCAGTCTTTGTAGCCACCTCTCTCCTTCTTGTCCTCCATGGAGGCCAAATGGGCTCCTTCTTCCCTGCAGCTCCCTCGTGGCTGGGCTTTGTCTGCCCCACAGGCTCCAGGGAGTTGCCCTCGTGGCTTCCCATAGATTTGCTTATGTCTGATGATCTGAAATTAGAATCCTTCCCCTTCTCTGCCCTTTGCTGTAAACGTGTAAAACCTTGCAGATTTCCCTTAGGGAAGAAAGGGGGATTTTCCCACCGTTAAAAATGAAAGGCAAGGGAAGGAGAAAGAGTTAAAACATGCTCAGATACTTGTAAAAATGATTAAAAAACAAACAATCCCACAACAGTGCCAATTATTCACATCCCCTCGTATAAATATAGAAACCCTGGAGAGGGGGCTTTCCCTTGAGCTAACTGCTCTGCTCTTCCATTAATTTATTACCAAGGCCCCCCAGTGCTCTGTCAGTGCTCCTGGTTTTGTTTCTTTTAGCTGGGATTTGGGGATGGTTGATTTTCGGCTACACGGAGGTTTTAGGTCTCTTGACAAACCTTCCTTCCTCCCTCTCCTTTTGCCTTTTCTTCCCTCCCTTAGAAATTCTCACCGGGGTGGTGCTCCAGTTGGAGGAGAGCAAGGCTTCCTACACCTTCCCTTTAGGAGTTCTTCACAAAGGGAATGTGGGTTTATTTTTCTTTCCCCTCCTCTTCATCTGGAGCAATCACCAGCATTGTTCTCCCGGCTGTGACAGACACGGAGGTTGCGTGTTAGCGAGACGCTTGCAAAGAGGTTTTGCAATTCCAGCTCTGTGGGCCAGTTCTTGGGGGTGTGCAGATGGTCCCCCCAGCCTTGTCTGGATGGTCATTGTCATCAGACTCTGGTCTCAGGAGCAGCCATTCTCCTCAACAGGTAGTATAAGCCGTGGTTGGTTTAAAACAGATTTTTCTCACAGACGAAAATGACATTTTATATGGCGTAGAAAGAAAACACGAAGAGGAGCGTGTTTGTCCTTTATTTTCACCGGTTTAAAAGTCAGCCAGCTTCTGCAATCCACTGAAGCTGGTCTTGGAGCTCAGTGTCATACGTAGGTTCAGTGGCCCCAAGGCTGACCGAGCTCAAGGAGCGTTTGGACAATGCCCTCAGGGACAGGGTGGGATTGTTGGGGTGTCCTGGGCAGGGCCAGGAGTCGGACTGGATGGTCCTTGTGGGTCCCTTCCAGCTCAGGATATTCCATGATCCATTTCCTGTGGGTTTTATTTTGTGGAGGGCAGCCCAGGGGTATAGGATGGGGAGAGCCAGGGCTGTCAGGCCACCAGAACCCTGGAGCACTCGGGAGCGTTTACCTTTGTCTCAGGGGAGGTGATGGGACAGATTGATTTCAGCAGCCATTCATATTAACTAGAGGTAATAAAGGCCAACAAAATGTGGCCTCCAGTTACAAATAAAGGGCCTGACTCTCCATTTCAGGAGATGGGATCGAACGCTGGAGTTACAATGGCGTGGGACTGGGAGTGTGGGTGGGGAATACAGCCCAGAGCCACTGATGAATAGTAAGAAGCTTCTGTATGGAATGACTGCTGCTTTCTGTCTCTGTATATGCATCCTGACGGGTTATGGTGGAGTTACTACAGGATGAAAATTTGCTTAATGGCCAGCTGATCTCACATCTGTAGTTGCATTTGGAATCTGACAAAAACGATGCATCATAAAATGAAAAAGTAAAACTAGAAAGTGAGCTGTCATCCTTCTCACCAGCTGTTCCTGTTCACTGGGCAAGAGGATATACCGGCACACTGAATTTTTCTTGCTGGAAAGGAAAGGCTCTGCTTTGAAAAGGAGGCTTTTAGAAAACTACAGCTTCCATATTTTTCATCTATTGATGTTCTTGTTGAATGTCCACGAGCAAAAGGTGTGCTGGATTTTTTGCTGCCCTCTTGGCATTGCAAACTGCCCCCAGCACGTGACAGTCAGGGCTCTCTTTGCTGTCCCTGGAATCACAGGTAGCAGATGTGAGTAACAAGGTGCTCCTTTAATATATTCTGCTTCCTTACTGTGCATTTAACCCATCCCTGGTGGTTTGCTCCGCGCTCCCTGGGCTGGGATTGACTTCAGTTGCTGGGCGATGAGCCCTGTGGGAACTCCTTGGCCTGGTTTTCCAAGGCGCTGTTTTGTGGCTGTGGAATAAATACAGCTGTGCTGCTTCCAGACCTTCAAAGAACATGAGGAGCTTGCACTGCTGTGTGTAACGTTGGCAAACACACCATGGATGTACGTGTGTGTGTGTGTGTGTGTGTGTGTGTGTTTAAGATGGAATATTTTGTCTTGAGCATGGAAGTTAGCAAATCTTTATTTGATTGTTTGTTTTTATAATGAGATGAGTTGTTGTTCCACGTGTGTTTCCAACTGTCCATCTCCCCTGAGAACAGTTCCTGGTGTGTTACTGGTCAGCCTCTCCCTCAGCCAGGCCCCTCTGGCAGAGCAAATGTGTCCAGGGCTCTGTGCTGGGAAGAAATCTATGAGGCTGTGTTTGCTTCAGCCCTTCCTCCTGGTGGAGGAGCACAGCCATCCCTGTTTGCCAAGACCTTGTTGGAGAGAAGGCCTTGTCTGAGGCTGCTTCAGAGCTCCAGAATTTCTGCAGCAGCAGAGCCTGGGCTGTTGGAGTGAACTGGGAAGCAACAGAACAAGGACCCATCCAGTGCATATCGGACAAAGAGGAAAATGAAAAATTGATGTTCTTCTTGAAAAGCATGACCTGTGTTCATTCAGGAAAGACTGTCTGAGTCATAAAAGTTGATAGGAGCAAAACTTTTCAGGAAAGGGTCCATGGGTAATGATAAAGCCTTCTCTTCTGGGGGAGCTATGTGTGCATGGTACTCATCTGCTTGTGGCAGAGGGTGTTGCCAGCCCTTCAAGTGTACCTGGAGGGGAGCGAGGATTTGGATAATGCAGCATCCAGCTGTAAACATCCACTTTTTAACAAAGGACTGCAAGGAGAGAAGGATTTTTACTGAAGGAGCACAGGTGGTGTGGGAAGTGACCAGAGTTTGCATCAAAAAAAACTCCTCAAAAGCTGCTTCAGGATGGAAAATCTGATAAAATCTGTCTTGTTCTTCTTTTGGTCAAGTTTTCTGGGGCAGTAGCAGGTGGATCTGAACAAAGGTGGTCACAATTCCTTTTCTTTTGGAGATGAGGAGTGCTCATGGCAGGGTTGCTCTCCATGTGGTGGATGCAGGTGGGGAGCCTCTTGCCTGTAGGACCTTGTTTGTCAGCAAGATTCCCCTCCTGCAAATTATTGGCAGCTGGCATGGTAATGAGTCCATTTCAATATAAATGAGCTTCATTTTATTAATTTCTGCCAGCTCCTGAGCAATTCATGAACTGCTTTTCAGATCTCAACCAACAGCTTGGGGGAAGAGAGGGAGGTGGGGAGCAAAGAGGAGAATGTGAAGGAGGAAAAAGAAAATGAGAATATTTTTAGTTTAAAAAGGTGCCAGTGACTCTCATCTCTTCTGAGAATCCAGCCAAGAACGAGGATCCCCCTTTGCCCACCAAGCAGCTCTAATGCCATGAAAGGCAACAGTAATCTCTCCCAAGGTTTTTGTTCCTTGGGACTTTAGGAGAAGTTTATAACTCTCGCCACTCTGTGCGCAGTGTTGAGTTGGTGTTTTGCTGCCAGTGCTTGGCTGGGAGAAGGGGGAGTTGATGGGAGATGGATTGGGAAGCACAACCAGCCCTCTGGTGAGTTTGTATCTCCAGGCCTGGACCTAGAGCTGGGGCACCTGCAAGGGAGCTCAGCAGTGATATGAGGCCAAGAAAGGGCTGGAATTTGGTACCCACAGGAGTGCACATGTGTCTAACCTAAGAGAAGTCGTAAGGACAGTCCTTAGGTCTAAATAAGCACAGACTGATCTCTTGTATCCGTGCCTTAGTGAGTGCAATTAACCCAACAATCCTTTCACCACACACAAAACACATGTAAATGCTCTGCCCTGATTGTCTGATTCGCCCTTGAAAAATGTTAATGAAATCCCTGCTTGGAAAACCGCCCTTTCTGTAAATTAGACAGTCTGCACAGAGAAATCTCCTGGGAGGCCTCCCAGTTCCTCCCCGGGCTGCTGGGCTCCCCTTTGCTGCCAGTTCAGTCCTGGTTTATTGGAAGGTGCCTCTCCAGGTGTGTTTTTGGTACCTGAGGTTTTCTAGCCCTGCCTGAGACAGACCATCCCCAGCAAGGGCACGTTGGTGTCTTGTGGGGATTTTGATTTGGGAAGAGGAGCCCTCCACGTTCTGTTGTTGGGACTGATGGTGCCTGGCTGGGTTTTTCATTTATTCTGCCACCATCAGATTTCATCACTGGAATTTGAGCACAGCATTCTCGTGCTGTACTGCCCAGTGTTTCTTAGGTAAGTGATGGTGACAGGCTCTGGCAGAAGATCCTCCTATACAGCCCTCCCTGCTGACCCTTTGTCTGATTTGTTTTTCTCCCCTCTTTCTCCCCAGGTTTTTGGCTTGTAGTCATAGACTCTGACGAGGGAGTAATGGAGTCGCTGAGTGGCAGGTGCTGACAGCTTCTGCAGTCCCAGTAACTGCTCATTTTGGTGTCATTTGCAATTCTGTACCTCTAAATGCCACAGCTCTCTGGGGGAAGGTTGCGCTGGATACCGGTACTGCCTCGGAAGGTACATGTGTGTCCCTGTGTTTTTCTTTAGGAGTTTGCTGTGCTGTGTGATGTTCATGGGAGGGCAAAATGTGGTTACAATGGCTATCAAGCGGCTCCTGGTGACATCCCTTCCTCCCTCTCTCCTCCTCTTACTCGATTTGCCTGCAGGGCCTTTTTGGAGTCCATCCCTTGTTTTAACATGTGTGAGAGCGGCTTACAAAGAAGAAATGGCTGCTTAAAAGGTTCTGATGTGAAAACAATGGAATATGCTGCTGGAGTTTCTGAGAAACTCAAAGGCTTTCTGTGGAATTCCAGCCCCGCTCTTGCCCTCTTGAAAAAGCACATTTTAATTACAATAAAATGTGTGCGTTCACACTTGGTTATTAGTGTTGTACATTTTTCTATGTGGTTCTGGTGAGTTCAGTAAAAAAATCTTTGTTGTTGGCTGGCAGATTTTAGCAGAAGTTTATTTCTGTAGGCTCCTTGCCCGCTGTGGATTTGATCATTGTTCTGGTTCTCACAGCCTTCAAGCTCCGCTCCAGGAGAAAAATACAGATTTGTCACCAGGGCCTCCCACTAGAATCTAATTTTGAATTTGCAATCTGTTGTCTTGTGAGGTGCTTCAAATTTGGTTGGAAATTTAATATATTTCAGATAAATTCTTCTGGAACCTGGTGGTCCAGCCTTTTGCAAGTGTAATGGTTAGTAACTTGGGTTTAATTGAAATGAGTGTTCAATTATTTGTGTTTGTAATTATTTTAACAAATATTTAATATTGGGGGTAAGGGAAGAGAAGGCAAAATGACCATTTTTAAAGAAAATTGTGTTCTTTGAGGGGGCCATCATCAGTGGTCATTTGGAATGTGATAGTCTTTATGTGTAACCACGTAAGACTCATCCAGCAAAACCTCAGCAGTTCAGCCAGAGGTCAGTATGCTTTTCTAGGGTACCTGGTGCAGGGAACACAGCTTTTCCCAAAGCTTTACTGCAGAATTTGTGTTCTCCCTGCTGACAGCCTAATGTTGGGTTTTCAAAAAACACATCTCAAACCCCTGTACCCCTCTTGATATGCAAGCTTGGCTGCAAGATGACTTTCCCAGCCCCTTGAAGACTTGCACAAATTTGTCATTTCCCCTGCTCTGAAGCAGGAAGGAGCAGATTTTCTGGGAAAGAGAGCCCTTTCCCAGCACAGCCAGAGCTGGATGGTCAGGCCACCTCTTTGAGGACGTGGAGGAACAAGTTGCCACCCCTCATTTGTCTGACTTGGGCTGCAGATACAAATCTGAATCTCCTTCAGTGAGCAACTGAGTCACTGAGCTGGTGCCTTTTCCAGGAGATGTGTCTGTCTCCCTGCTCTGGTTTTCAAACCCCTCCCTCTCAGAGCCCTTAGTCAAAGGCAGCGTATTCCCACAAAAAGTTTGGGTTTTGATGAATCAACATTTTCTGCTGAGAAGTGTCCAAACAGTTGTGCTCTCAGCATGGCCTGTGTGATGTCTGGGAGCCTCTGAGTAATTCACAGCAGATTTCTGACACGTCCCAACCCTCGGCTGAGAGAGACAGACCTGTTTTAAGGCATCAAGATGTGTCACACTTGATTTATATTGTATCCTGGTGGTACCCTTGATAGGTCTTTAATGGTCACCTCTGGGTTTGGTGGGTGAGGTAACAAGGGGAGCCTTTGTCCTCCCAGCACTTGCGTGCAGCTCCCATTAATATTACTCATTTTCTTAATTTGATACAGATTTTTTTCACTGAGTGTGCTAAATGCAGTTAAGCCACAGACAGGCAGCATCTGGCAGTCGTAGCTGGAGCAGTTTAAGATGCTTTTGCCTCAGGGTGTCTGCTGTGGCCCGTGGGAGGGGGAGGCTGAGGCTCCCCTCCCCTGCCCAGCTCCTGCCAGCTGAGGACTCCGGCATCTGCTCCAGTGCCAATTCATGTTTCAGGGCTGGCTTTCCACATCTGATTGGGCTCACCTAAGAGCTCACTGCTGCCAGAAAATGCAGGGGTGCCATCCACTGTCCCCTCTTCCCTGGCCCCTCTGACTGGTGCTGCCCCTTCCTCTCCCTGCTGTGTCCCCACATGGGCACCCTTGTGTTGCCCCTGGCACGTGCCAGGTCAGCTCATTAGCTCAGCAAAAACTAACTAATAAACTTTTTTTTTTTTTAACCTTGGATTTATTTTCTGCTGTTTTAGTGGACTCTGCTGCATGAACCACTTGAATTGGTTCAGGGTAACTGGTGGAAATGTGGAGGGGAGGCAGAAATGGGGGTGAGAAAGTAGGGTGGGGGTCCCTTTCAGAGGACGCCACAAGCTGTCCCTCTCAGCTTGACCTGATGGGGTTGACTGTCCCTACCCAGGGTGTGTCCTGCATCTCCCAGGGCAGATGGGCTCTGCCAGGGGATGGTGACAAGCCTCGGGGATGGCACTGTCTTGTATTGCTGCAGCTGGATCAGTGCACCACGTCTGCCTGCAGCCCTCTGGCACCCACTGACCGCCCAGCATTCCTACAGACCTGCAGTGTAATGCCAGGGAAGTCAGTGGGATTAGGGCAGGGGTGAGGTCTGGGTTTATCTCAGGACAGATCCACCCGAAGTGCCAATCCCCGGAATTAAAAAGGGACAGCTCTTTACTTTGAAGTCTGACACTTCTTGCAATTACTTAGCAGGTACTTCTCATTGTGTGAAATCACTCCCTAAACATTCCTGCTGCTGTCTGCAGGGGTTCCTGAGCTGCTGTTCCTTTCTTTGCTGGTCATTTGTGGTTCTGTTGCTTTTTGGTTGGGTGTGGATGGTGTGAATGGAGACTGTGTCAGGGTGGTGGCACAGGGCAGCTTTCCAGAGCTGCTTCCATCAGCGGGGGGATGCTCCTGCCCTTCTGCAGCTTTGGTTGGAAGGTAAAGAGTCACTCTTCAGTCTCTCTGGGTTTCAAGAGGACTTTAAAAACTGCTTTTTCTCGTAGGTAGAGAAGTGACGGTGTGGCTGGACTCGGGGGATAAATGGCTGCAGGCTCTGCTGGGCTGTGCAGCCCGTGGAAATCCTGCCGACTGGAAGTGTGGTTAGCAGGGAGCTCAGAACTGAGGCAGCTAGAAGCATTGCCCCAAGGGTTCCTTTTGCAACATGGGGAGTGTTGAGGCCTGGTTTTAGATATCTGTGGAAGAAAAAATACAAGTTTTGTGCTTTAAAGTGTTCTAGAGGCAAAAGCTGGTTGAGTTTTTGTTTCATTCTGGCCTGTATCAAAGGGCTGTAGCTTTTAAAGGATAAACCATGTTTAGGGGTTGATAATGCTGTCTTTTCTTTTAAACTTTCTCTCTCTTCAGTGCATTTATTTTTCTAAACAATGTGTGATAACCAAGTCATGGCAGCCAAAGGGAGTTCTGCCATTCATTTCAGTAGACATGGGGAATTTCCTGGTGGAGTTTACTTCAAATGAGATTTTATTTATTTTAGATATGGAAATGTCCAGATATTTATGGAGGTGTCTGTTGCTTCAGCACTGAACAGACTTTTAGCCTCAGCCATGACCCATTTCCCTGGTTAGAGGAGCAGAAGCAGAGTCCTCTGGCTGTAGTCAGAAGTGTCACTGCAGAGTTCAGTTCTGCTGTACACCTCTAGGGCAGAAGTGCTGTCCCTGTGTTTAATGCTATTGATTCCTCACTTTCCATGGAATTTATGTAGGGCTAATTCAGTGCTGTGCAGCAGCAATGGTGTGTATTTAGATATTTAGAGGGAAAATGCATGGTCACATTCATTCTGCCAGCATGTGGCTCAGAACCCATCAGGGCATCCTGGCAAAGGAGAGGAAAATGCCCCAAGAAATTAAAAACTCCATCGTTTTACTCTCAGGGCAGCTTTTTTCTCTTCAGCCAAGACGAATGGAAATACCTCAAAACAAAGATGTTTTGCCTTGGAATTTCTGTTCAAGATTGATGGACTGTTTATCTCTATATAGTTGTCTCATGTGTAATTCGGGATCTCCTGTTTAATTTTGAATGGCTGTGAACTTTAACATTTACTTTTCTTATTCTTCTTCTTACCCTTTGGCCAGAAGGACCCAGTACTACTTATAAAATATTTCTGACATTTGTTGAGTGAGATCACAGACCTCAAAGTGTTTTCCAAAGGTTGAACCAGATCATCACTCCCACCTTCTGGATGGGAAACCTGTTTCCTGGCGGGATGTGCACGGGTGAATAATGCAGGAGGATGGGGATGGGGACAGAAACCCAGTCCCTGCATTCCAGCTCAGATCAAAGCACTTGGATCTAGCTATCTGCTTCAGAGGGAGTGGGAAGGAAAGGTTATTTTTGTATAGTCTGAGTCACTCATGCTAATTTATTTTTCATAATATGGCTTTCTTGTGTGGGGCTTTCTGTACCTGCTTAATGTTGCACTGTTTTTTTGTTCCAGAAATCAAACCTGTCATTAGCTTGCTGTCAAATGGTAGGATTTGTAGTTTGCTCTTTGGTGCTTTAGCTTGCTGTTCCTGGCCAAAAAAAAAAGTGAAATCTCAGATAAAGGTGTACATCCCTGTACTTTTCGGCATCTTGTTACATGCAGATAAGCAAGAGCTGTTGATTTTTTTTGAGTTTGTTGGCTGGAATGACAAAGCTGACGCTGAGAGTCGAGTGAATGTGTGCAGAGCTGAGATTGCACTTTGGTGCTAAGCTGGTTCCAGTTCACACCAGGCTTCAAGGCTCAATCCTTCCCTCTAGAATTCTACACTCTTCATTTACACCAGCAGGGCTGTTTCCTACATTCTCATTTAACAGAGTTGTATTTCTAAGTTTGCTGGTACAGCTGCTTAATTAATTCTGTGGGATTAACTGCTGTAGTTACAGCAGGTCCTGTGAGACCCGGTGGACTCTGTGGTGCAGGGTTTGGGACAGGTTCAGTAATTAAGAAGAAAAAGGCTGTTTTTGGTGTCGTAGGTGTTTCTATGTGTCTCCTTCCTGCGCGTGTTTGGCCGCAGCCCGTAACGGTGCCGCTCTCTCCCCTCGCAGACTGTGACGCCATGGGGAACGCGGAGAGCCAGAGCGTGGAGCACGCCTTCTACGGGGACAAGCACACCAGCCTGGGCCGCAAGCACACCTCCCGCTCCCTGCGCCTCTCCAACAAAGCCTCCCGCCGCTCCCGCCACGCCTCCTCCGGCAAAATCATCCACCGCAACTCGGAGGTGAGCACCCGCTCCAGCAGCACGCCCAGCATCCCCCAGTCCCTGGCGGAGAACGGCCTGGAGCCCTTCGCCCCAGAGGCCAACCTGGAGGACTTTGGGAGCCCCATGTGGGTGGACCGCGTGGACATGGGCCTGCGGCCCGTGTCCTACCACACCGACTCGTCGGTGACGCCCAGCGTGGACAGCAGCACCGTCCTCACGGCCGCCTCCGTGCAGAGCATGCCCGGCTCGGAGGAGAGCAGGCTCTACGGCGACGAGCCGCCCTTCCTGGCGGAGGGCGACGGCAGGGGACACCGGTACGCGGCCAACGGGACCGGCTTCATGGACACGGCCAGCTTCAAGAAGAAGCGCTCCAAGTCTGCCGACATCTGGCGCGAGGACAGCCTGGAGTTCTCGCTCTCCGACCTCAGCCAGGAGCACTTGACGAGCAACGAGGAGATCCTGGGCTTGGCCGAGGAGAAGGACGCCGAGGCCGCCCCAGGCACGGAGGCCGGGGGCAGCCCCCAGCCCCTGGTCGCCTGCCAACGTGCCAACTCCATGAGTGACTTGTATTCCCCCAAAACCCCAGGCACTGCCATGAACGGGGGCCCGCGGAACGCCTTCGGAGGGTACTGCCGGAACCTGGTGTCCGACATCCCGGATATCGGGAGCCATAAGATGGCCTCGGTCACCGCCGAGGATGCGCCTTCTTCCTACAGCAACTACAACACGCTGCCCTGCAGGAAGTCACACTGCCTCTCCGAAGGGGCCACCAACCCCCAGATCAGCCACAGCAGCAGCATGCAGGGCAGGAGGGCCAAAACCACTCAGGTAAGACACTTTTCTCCTGTGATGTGGCATTTGCTGAGCTGGGTCTGTAGATAGAAGGTTTTCCAGGTTCTCCCAGGCTCTGTTTTCCTTCAACACCCCTTTTCCAAGAAGAGGGGTGTTTCCAGGACAGAGCTGAACTAGGCGATCTCCAGAGCTGTCTTGATCCCATCACTGCTTCCTTCCTTATTGCAGCTCTCTTCGGGCCTTTTCCACTCTCTGCTGCCTCTGGAAAAGATAAATCTGCATTTGCCAGCTAAAGAATTTCCTGCATGCTTTGCAGTGCTGACAGTGCCTTTTTTCCCAGGGTAGCTGCCAAATTGCATCACTCCACTGCGGAGCTTGTGCGTGTTGTGTCCCCCCTGTCTGCCCTCCCTGCCCTGTCACCCTCCCCTGCCTGCACCCTGTGAACAGTCGTGGCTGGAGGCAAAGAAACCCGTGAGTGTTTCCCCTCCCCTCTGTAGTAAACACTGGCTGGGCTGAAATTTCACTCTTCCAGTTAGCTGACATTCACATCTGTGCAAAACGTCACCCCGCAGCAGTGCTGTCCCCGCACAGAGGGCTGCTGTAAACTGAGAAATGGTGGGGGATGGAGATGAAGGGGGAAGATGCTGCTTCTCCGAGCCAGGGAGGACTTGTGCCCTCATCCTTCCAACAGACAGCACAGAGCCAAGAGGAGCTTTGCTGTTGGGTGCCCCTCCAAACACCACTCCTGCAATCCTGCTGCTGGGATTTTACTCTTAGTTGCCCTGCTTTTCTTGGCCTGGTACAGTTACATAGCACCACAAACAGTGGTTCTGCTGGCAGATCAGTGGCAGAGAGGGAGAGAAAGGAGATACCAGGAGAGAGGAGCCTGTGCCCCTACCTCGGCTGGCACGGGGTCGCTGAGTGACTTCCTGGCTGTGCTTGATCTGTAGTGATGCTCTGCTTCCAAATACAAAAATGACATGCTGGGACAGATGCTGCAGCATCCCACAACAGCAGCTTTTGTGCTTCAAAATCAGCTCTTGGTTTTTGGAGGTAAAGCCCCTTGGTGCACCAGCAGGATAAAAACCAAGACAACAACAACAAGCAAAAAAAAAAAAAAAAAAAGATGTTACTTGGCAGCCTTGGAGGTAACAGCTTTTGTGGAGATTGTTAGGTGCAACTGCTGCCTCCAGCCTGCTTTCAAGAAAAGGAGAACAGTGTTGGTGGTGAACAGCAAAGCATTTGTTTTTTCATCGTCTTGGTGCCTGTCCTGGCATTCAGAAGATTCCTTTGAGGCAGGTAGTGAAAGTTATGAATTTAAGTAGTATTTTGTGAGGCCTCAGCCATGCCCAGGGAAATAATTTTGTGGGGCTGGTTTCACTAGATGTATCTCTCCTGAGACTGCAGACGGTGGCTATAAGGAGTCTCAGCAGTGATTATTACCACGGATAAATTCAACAAAATTAAAGCTTTGGAAAGGTCAAAATTCCTCCTCCCACGTCTTTAATCCCAGCAGCATCCAGTAAGTATAAGATTCTTGTCAGCAGTGAAGTCATGTTAGCCCAAGCCTCCCTTTAGCAAGCTTAGGGAAATGACTGTCATTATGTGTTTGATAGAGCGAAAAGGAAGTCCAAATTTGCACACAAAGTGAAAGGAGTAGTTCCTTGGTGAACCTGATGAGGTGGCTTTGGAGGGAAGTGACCAAGCTGTGTCTGTGCCAGGTCCCCAGTCTAACAGTGTCTCAGCACTTTCCTCCTCTTTACTCATCACCCCCATGTGAAGTGGAGAGTGATGGTGGTGGGAGCTGAGGTGCAGAGCTGAAGGCCTTGCTGCTTTGCTGTTAATGTGCTCCTTGGCACTGTGTTGGCACCTTTTATCTCTCTCTGCCCTCCCAGAGTTTCAACACTTTCTACACGAGCTTCACACTCTCTCTGACCACGCTAAGCGGTGCCCCAGAGCCTGCGTGTGTGTCATCAGGCTGTGGAGCAGTTCATGCTACAAAAACAACTCAGTGCACTGAGGCAAAAACTTTGTGTTTTTACCAGCCTTTTGACCTGCCTCCCCCAACCCAATGCCACAAAATAGGAGTTACATCTTAGGGCCACAGGGGCACCACACAAAGGTGACCCAGGGCCAAGTGTAATGTGGTGTTGGACACAGTTTTCCCTCTTGGCCTCCAGGCCAGTGACCTGCCACTCCTCTGGTGTTTCAGTGCAGAGGTAGCTCCCTTTTTCAGAGTCACCTCATGGAGCCTCAAAGCCAGGGGTGAGGTTTCTACCCAGATCTCTGTTGCCAGTCCTCACAAGAATTTGGGGTTGTGTTAGTCAGTGGGGTGTTTTTTCAGTTTTTGGAAAGTTGTAGCTTGGATATTTGCCTAGTTTTTTAGTCTCAGCTGCCCTGGAAGGTCCTGATGGTCACTTGTATGTGTCTTTTGACTAGTCTAGTTCTATGCATCACCATGGTTTCTATATGTTAAATTCACTAGAAGTTGTGACTAGCTGTATTTTTTGTGCTGTGCTGACCACTGGAAAAATTCATCCTGGAATGTGTCACGGAAACAAGGTGCCAGAATCATGGCTGTACATGTTTTGTTCTAATGCCTTATCCATGGGTTCTTTGCAAGCACATGGCTTACATTAAAAGGGGAAAAAAACCCACCCCAAAACACAGCAGAAAATCTCTCCCTTCCAAATTTAAACCTTAAATTGAATGGTGGGAGTCACTCTCCCCTAATTGAGGAGAGCTTTATGGAGAGATAATTACATTCAATGTGCACAAGCGATTAGTGCTCACAGGGTGGCTCTGGGGCACCCACGCAGCAGCTCTGCTTCCTAACATTTTAACATTAGGGATTTGGATCTGCTGAGCGAGACTTCCCGGAGAGCTCTGCTGGGATCATGTTGGGCTTTTGGAGCTGATGTGATGTAGGTGGAAAGGGCTTAATTGGCTGACATTTTCACCCATTTTTGCTTGAAGGGAGACAAACACTGTTTGGATACAGCTTGTTCTGTCTGTGGGCTGTGAGATCCCCAGGATCCTACAGCCTGTTTGTTGGGATCCAGATTTTGTGAAATGGCCCTGTTGTGTCCTGTTTGTAGCTAAACATCTGCCTGCAGGAGACTCCTTCCTCCTCCTCCTGATCCTCCTGATAGATGTTCAGGGACAAATGTAACCCACTGTTTCCCTGCTGTTACCAGCCCTAATTGAAGTTTCAAGAAGGGAATTTGCCCAGAGAAGCTGTGGCTGCCCCATCCCTAGAAATGTTCCAGGCCTAGTTGGATGGGGTTTGGAGCAACCTGGTCCAGTGGAAAGTGTCCCTGCCTATAGCAGGGAGTGGATGGTCTTAAAGGTCTCTTCCAACCCAAACCCTTCTATGATTCCTTGAATTAGGGGATGGGAACACTGAGATATGGTTTTGTGCCACTTCCAAGCCTGTCTTGCCACCTCCTTATTCCATTCCATGTCTGCGGGGGAGTGATGGTGTTTTACAAGCATTTTTAGAGCATGGTGAGGACCCTGTGTGCTGTAAAATCCAGGGGGACACCGTGGCCAAAGCGTTTCCCCGTGGTCCCCTCTCACGAGGAGGATGGCTCCTTCCCTCGTTCCTCTCCGAGCTTTTTGATTTCCTCTGGAAAGCTCAATTCCAGTGTTCCCATGGGGCACTCCAGTTTGTTTACAGGACTTTTGAGAAGGAGCAACAGCTCTGCAGGGAAAGCAAGGGATTTTTTACCGTGTCCAGTGCAGTGTTAGTTGTGAAACAGAGAAGGGAGAAAGGGAACAAACTTCCTGCCCGACTGACTTGGAAACTGCACCGGCTTCAGCGCCAGCCCCAGGCTGCATCCTTGGCGTGTTAAATCCCCTTTTGTCCAATTTTCTTCAAATTTATTACTATTTTTAGGCCTCTCTAGGTAGCCTGAAGGAATTTGGGATCCTCAAACCTTAAAAAAAAAATGAAATCCTACGTAAAAAAATTTTTGCAGAATATGCAGGAGATGAAACCAAGGGGTTTTGTGGGAATTAGATCAGGGCATACAGAGAAGCCAGTCTAAAATTAGATAGTCTTTCCAGTCGATATTATTTTATTTTACTATCTCAGGGAATTTTGTAACAGGTTATAGTGTCCCATTATGTTCCATAGGATGGCTGAACTCCAGAGAGCTGATACTTGGGTTTCAGTTGTGTGAAACTTTTTCACAAAATGGTTTTGTGGCATAGAGGATGTCACCTCAACATGTACAAGGACCACACTGGGTCAGTTCCAGGAAAGCAGCATCCAGCCTAATACCTTGATCCCCACTACCAACTGCCCAGGAAAAGAAGAAAGAAACTGGGAGAGTACGGGGTGAACTTTCCTTTAGGGCAGAAGATTAGAGATTTGAGCTTCCTGTGCAAGGAATGCATCCAAGGCTGTTGGGTTGACCTGTCCCCCATGAATTCTCTTTTATGAAATAATTTTCTGCTCCTGGCTTCCCCTGCATCCTGTTCACTCTCTGCAGAGCACTTGTGACCTTCCAGCCTGCTCTTATAGCCCTCCTTGGCCATGGCTTTTCCAGGCAGAGCATCTCCAGCAGCTGAAGCTCTGCTCCTATTAAAGCAATCCTGTCTGTAGTCTGGAAAACAGGGCTGTTTTCAACCTAAGTGTGATTCCTAATCAGACGGACACAGACCTTTAATCTTAGTTGTTTGACTCCAGATGGAATCAAGGAAAGAAATACAGACAAAGTTGTGCATCGTTAAATGATAATTAATGACACGTAGGTTAGTAAGTAGCTAAAATCAAGCTGTTCCTGGTTTGCAGCTGCAGTGTGGATGTCACTGATTCCAGCCCTGGTTCCCGCAGTGCCTTTCAGACAGAGGTTGTTCCCAAGGTCTGATGCAGCCTGAGCCAAATCTCCCAGAAGCTGGAGATCTGTGAGCGGGAAGGTTTGGCTCAGGTGGCTCATGGAGCTGGATCCCCACAGGTCACTGTGCTGAGCCTCCAGGCAAACAGCCCTGTTAAACCCAAATGTCTCTGCCTCCAGCCTCCAGCCACAGGG